TCCTGAGTTTACTGCCACTCAGCCTGAGGTCGCAGACTGGTCAGAAGGCAGGCAGGTGCCGTCTGTGCCCATCCAGCAGTTCCCTACTGGAGACTGGAGTGCTCAGCCTGCCACTGAAGACTGGTCTGCAGCCCCCACTGCTCAGGCCACTGAATGGGCGGGAACAACCACCGAGTTGTCTTAAGTCTGCTTTTCCACACTCTTATACAAAGTGGAAATAAGGTTGATAAGGAAAATAAACAACAGTTTATTTTTAAAAAGGTGATATATTACACTTTATATTAACTTCTTACACTATATGTGAAGTACTGAACTATTACTTATAAGTATACTTATGAAAGTGCCCTAGAGAACTTTAAAAATTCCATTAATAATGCATATTATGAAAACATTATGCATACATTTCAAACATTTTTGCAACAAAATAAACTTGTACTTTCATTCTATGTTTCTATGGGTTTTTTTTGTTTGTTTGCTTTGGAGAGGTTTTTTCGCTATAGGGCACGTGCGCTCGCTAGACAGGCAGAGAGAGACATAGAGACAGAAAGCGAGAAATCACCCCCCGGGGTGATGGTCACACAGCAATCCCCTTCTCCCCCATTCTCCTCTTGGGATCTTGGGCATGCACGCACAGGCGCCCGGGTCCAGGACACAAACTGTGGTCGACGAAGTGGGAGTCCAGCGACATAGCCATTATGCCAACTGCTGGTTCCTTTTTTTTTTTTTTTTAAGAGTAGTAACACTTTTCATTTCCACTTTTTACTTTGGAATAGCATAAGACTCATGAGACGGTGAACGTTTAATACAAGTTGTTCCTGTGTACCTTCCCCCAGCTTCTCCCTGTGACTTCTTCTATACTCACAGTGCAGTTTCAAACCAGTACTTTGATGCTGGTATTAATACAGTGCAATAAATTAAACTGTAGACAATATTTGGATTTCATTAGTATTTTGACGATGTGTGTGTGTGGAGAAGTAATATTTCAATGAAGGATCACAATTTGTATACAGAACTCTTCCATCACCAAAAAGAAAGCTCTTCATTTTGTGAGTGAATCAAACTGACTTCACCTTGTGAGAACGAACTCTCCCCCCTCCCCAGTCTAGAGTTACATCTTACTAGCCCCAAGGAGGACTTTCTGCTTAGGTTAAATTCTGTATAAATTGTTACCTGGGGTGGTCATGCCAATCCTCATTGGCACCACTGACCTTTGAGAAAGGAAAAGCTAACAATATTTGACCCCAGGGCAGTGATGTCTCCCCACCCCACCCCCTGCAACATGACCCTAATCCTCCTGAAGTTCGCCCATATTGTTCAGCCTGTCTGCTTATCTTTCAAAAGCTTTAATTTGAGGCCAGCAGGTGGTATGGTGGTTGATGTGCCGTACTCCCACAAGGTCCACCATGGCTTGAGTCTCGGACTCTGTGGCTTGAAAATCATACCAGGTGCATGTGCATGTATGCCAAAATAACAAGAGGAACATGGAGAAGAAGGGATTGTGGCTGGGCATTCCTCCTTGGGGGTTACTTCTTTCCTTCTCTCTGCCTCTCTCCAGTGAGCACACATGCCCTAAGGCAAAAACCTAAAACAAAACAAAACAAAACAAAAAAGCAAAAAGTCCTCAACGCTGTAGTTTACCGTGAGAGGAAATGGACTATGCCACTCTGTATGTGTGAAGATCACTCTTGGCAGATCCTTATCCCACTCTGTAAGTTACTCCATGATATCAACCTGTTGTCAGACCTTCTGTAGTACTGCTCTGATGTTGTTCAGTCTCAGAGCCTCTTTGAGAGACTTTATTTCAACCTTAACTTCCGGCAACCACCGGTATGTTCTCGATCACTGTATTTGGGTCACTGTGATAATGTATATAAATTGGATGGTGTAACCTGTACAGATTGACTGCACTACATTTCCCATTACAAAACAGTGGTATTGTAGCTTGGAAATTTTCAGTAGCAGCCAATTAGGTGGTGATTTTTTTTAAATCTATCTTGTAGGCTTCTGAGTTCATGAAGCTACATCACGGAAATGGTGCTCTATTGTAGCATTTTAACAAAGTGATCCCTGACCATAAGGCATGGCCTTCAGCTGGTTTTACAGTGCTGTTTACTGTGTTTTTCTACCGACAATAAGACAGCCCATGAAAGAACTTTATATACTCCTGCTTTATTTATGATGTCTGGCATTACATGCTCTATATAACATTGGTAAAAACACTTCAAATTCAAATTTTTAAGAGTTTTAAAAAGCATATTTATGTAGCCCATTTCATAATTTCAGAAAGATTCCACTATCATTTATAATAAGTATACGCAATCATGTGCTATACTTTAAAGGAGTTACAAAGAAAATTGCTGAAAACTTTTCCGTTAAATCACATTAAACAGTCTAATAAACATACATTTGAAAATAACTATTTTAAAGAGATTTAAAAATTATATCCTAGTTTCTTCATTGTGCTTGGAATCAGCTGTAAATCAAGGTTTCGTTCATTGTAAAGTAGTAAGGCAAAGATTTAAGGTCAAGTCTACACACTGGAAAGGTATGAAGAAGTACAATTACCCAGAGACTAAGCACTGTGTGACAATTTCAAGAAACAATACTTTCCTGTACATAACACACAATTAGCTACAGTGTAGACTCAAGACTATCCCCCTGTCCAAGTCCTTTGTTTACCCATTCCACTTCAGAGTTCTCCCTTCACTCCCGTAGGCAGTGTGCTCAAAAGTGTGACTTATAAATTAGATAGCATCAAATAGATCCAAATCACATTTAAAAATATTTCTCTTGGAGACACTAGCATATCTTCCTTTAAAAAATACCTTCTCCTGGAACCAGCAGTTAGTGTAATGGTTATGTCACTGGACTCCCATGTAGCTGACCATGGTTTGAGTCTTGGACCCGGTGGCTTAAACTCACGCCGTGCGCATGTGCATGCGTGCCCAAGATCCCAAGAGGAGAATGGAGAAGAAGGGATTGTGGCGTGACCATCCCCCCTTGGGGGTGACTTCTCACTTTCTGTCTCTCTGTCTCTCTCTGTCTTTCTGGTGAGCACACGTGCCTAATACAAAAACCTCTCAAAAAATAATAAAATAAAAAATATCTTCTCTGGGGCCACCAGGTGGCTTGGAGGTTAAGGCAGCTGAATCCCACATGGCCTACTGAGCAGTTCAAATCCCAGACCCAGCAGCTTGAAAATCACACTGGATGTGTGTGAATATGTGCCCGAAATTCCTAGAGGTGAAGGAAGGGAAAGGGATTGTGGCATGGCCATCTCCCCAGGGGGTGATTTCTCAGTTTCCCTCTCTGTTACTCTTTGGCAAATGCACCTGCTGTATAACAAATTTATATATATGTATACATATATATGTTAGGGATTAGCAGATGGCATAATGGTTACATTGCTGGACTCCCACATAAAGGGATTGTAACATGGCCATCCCCCTTTGGGGGGGGTGATTTCTCATTTTTTTGTCTGTCTCTCTGGTGAGCACACATGCCCTATACCAAAAATCTCACTGTTAACTATTGTATTTGAATACATTTTTCCTGTAGGAAATATGGAAAATAGGTAATTCTAAAAATACCACTAACATTATGGTAAATACTACACTTAATTGTACATGCTATATATGCCAAATATTATGATAAGTAAAGATGTATACTACCGGTGAAAAGAAATTATATCCTACAGCCTTCAAAACTGATGCTATATTGACTAAGTAAAGAGGACTCAAAAATAAAAGACTTTAAAAAAAAAAATATCCCTACCCACAATCTCTGGTTTCCTCACTAGATTTGAGCCTTCAATTTCATAGTCACCATCGTAGTTCAAGTATGTAGCCGTGTCTGGCTCAAGACTGAATGGCTGACAGCAAGTTAAAATGATTTAAAGGCTGCATATGGATTTCCCACAGAACTCATATACATCAATGAAGCAAAAGACAGACTGTAGGAAATCTCTTTTAGCCATAAAAAATGGGAGGTTTTAAAAGGAGGGAAGAGAAGTTTTCCCTGAATAATTAGCAATCACCCAACTGACAAGAAAGCCGGCCCCCTCAAGAGCAGCCCTCCAAGTGCACTGCCCGTACAATCATCACAGTTTAAAAGGAGGGAAGAGAAGTTTTCCCTGAATAATTAGCAATCACCCAACTGACAAGAAAGCCGGCCCCTCAAGAGCAGCCCTCCAAGTGCACCGCCCGCACAGTCATCACAGTTGACTCTAATCCTGTGGCTTTACAATCTGGAGACTATGACGTTTCAAAGAACATAGTTCTTCATATGCAGACTAAATAGTCATTGGAAAGCAAAAGCCAACTGAGTGACGGTGTTTTGTTCTCATATAATCTATCCTAATTTCAAATACAATGTCAATTCTCCAAAACCATATCTACCTATGCGAATTCCTTGGAGGAAAAAAAAATGTCACTTTCTTCCTAGCAACATTAGTGGAAAAATTGATTCCCTTGGCTAGCTACACAAAGGCAAGCTTCCAAAGCGGTTTATTTTTTTTCTTAGCTGGTATGTTCATCTTCCTCACGAAGAATAAGGAAAATAATTTAATATCAAGTAATTTCCAAAGGAAATGATTTAACTTTGGCATCCCAGATTCAGAAACTGTGAAGTAAAAATAAACATGAAATTTTAAAGAGGGAGTGTTTGGGATTATTATATTTCTTGTATAAATATTTGGATGGAAAAAAATCATAGAATCTGATATAGCATTTACACAATAAAAAGAAATAAAGCTCACTATAAAATATGCCTCATAAATATTTAAAACCTGTCATCAAATGGACAAATTCTGAGAACCAAGAAGGAAACCCTCCAACACATAATATTTATTTAAAAGACAATGTATTTTGTGTCAAAAACATTGTTTGCAGGTAGAAAAGACTTAAAATGGCATAGAAAAAAAGATGCAACTTTTCTCATTGATTTTACTGACATCAGTACAGAATAGCTTGATTCGCTCAAGGAGTATAAGATATCACACAAAAATTTAATTCATTTTGTTTATTGATATGATCCAAACATATTTACCTGAAGAAATGAGGAAACGGCATAAAACAAGATTCAGCTAAACTTCAATTGTTGATCATTTTATATGGAAAATCAATTTATTGACTAATATAGAAATAAGTCTACAACCATGACTCGCGCTGTTCCGGCATGCAGGGTGTGTGGGACACCCAACGTTGTCGATGAGGAGCCACGTGAGCTTGCCCCTCCAATACTGGCTACACTGCCTGGCTTTGACTTGGAACCTCAAAAAAGGTTTCCCCCACCCCCAGCATGGGGTTCAAGCCAGCTCCAAGTCCTCCTCAGCCTACAATCAGTCACATTCCATTTCCAGGTTCCTCATCACCTTTCTTTTCAGATAGTATCAGAGCTCTAAAGAAGAGAGTACTGAGCAGGGAAGGAGTGGAAAGTACTGAGAGGTGGGCGTGGGTGATGTGGGGGGTATTGATAAACCCAGAGAAATGAAGAGACTAGAGTGGGTATCATCTACAAGCATTGAGGAAAGAGGGCCATGAGTAGTTCAGAAAAGACCAGAACTGGATCACGCTGCAGACCGGAAGGACTGTTAGTGTGCTTGCAAGGCCACACTCAAAGAACCATAAAGAAAATAACCGGAATGGAGAATCATTCTTGTATTTTAAGCCGAAGGCATTTTTTAAAAAAATTACAGAAGTCATGCAAAGAAAAGTAACAATGAATGCTTAAATAAAATGGAATATAAAAGGAAATCTTTTATTTCCACTTGGCGGTCCAATTTTTAAAGAAAGGTTATGCTAAGTCTGGCTAGTTTCTTTTGATTGGCCCTCTGTACCTAACATCAGACATTTCTGAGGCTAAGCAGAGAATTCAATGGCATCTCCCAGGGAGATGGGGAAAGGGGAAGGAGAGAAGGACGGAGTGTGTGAAAGAAAACTCTCCACACTCTTCGTGCCCAGAGTGGACACAGTCTTTAACCTGCACTTTAAATGGTATGAAAGACGCCATCCTCCACACAGCACAGTTAGGACCACTGGTGCCTGGTGCTTAGAACACTGCCAAGGAGCGTGAGGCACATGAGCAGCTGGACGGAGACATTTCTGTGCAGAGAGGAGGAAGAAGATGTTCTGCACACCTGAGGTTGTGCTTTATACGGTCTCTCTATGTCTGGAGGTAATGCAGTCATTCCTTGAATCTGAAAATGAAAGAACAGACAATACAAGTGAGCAAGTGAGTTAAGATCTGGATTGTGGCCAAGTCTGCTCAGTCATCCACTTTTCTGGATAAAGGGGACCAGGGATGACTCTGGAAGATTCAAACAGCAAGGGAGTGAGAAACACAGGGCTTAGCAGGAAGGTAGAACAGAATCAGACACTCCTTTTGGAGAAAATATATAAAGCAGGCCCCATTAGTTTTCTTGTTTCTTTTTCCTTGTTTTTCTTTTTTACTTAATTTTATTTATTCCTTCATTTATTTTAATTTGACCAGAGAGAGAGAGAGAGAGAGAGAGAGAGAAAGAGAGAAAGAAAGTGAGAAAGCAAGCCAGCAGGTCCAGGGCTTGAACCGTAGTTGGCCATGTGGGAGTGTCCAGCATCTTAACCACCATGCCACTTGCTGGTCCTGGCCCCATTGGTTTTTGAACTGCTCTTCTCAACCTAGCTGTGCTTCATCCCAACATTAGTTTTAGAATAAATTTTCCTCTTTGAAACAAGTGGAATCAGGAGTTTTCAGATACTGAGCAAATAAACTATCAGATATTTCAAAAGACAACTGGCCCATTGGATTTATGAATCCATGACTATAGAGTTTCCTGTTGTGGAGTCAGGTGAAATACCACATGGAGCTTCTCAGAGGTTAAAACAAACTTGCAAGGCTTACCGACCACTCTGCATTGTCTGTCTTGGAGCATCTCACGTTCACTGGTAGGCTGAGGACAAGCTTGTTGAAGGAGATACCTTCCTTTTTAGTCCATTTAAATTTATTCATTGCATCCATGAAAGAAAGGTTTTTATACTGCTTGGGGCTTTTGATAATGAAAGGCCAGGTCCTGAATTTAAAATAAACACCCACTGTTATATTCAGAGCAAATAATAATAATAATACATGTTCTCTCCACTTTGCAACATTCCAAACTGCAATACATCTTATACTTATTCACCTGCATACACATAGATAACCCCATGGAAAGCACTGATGAGCTCATCAGAGGTTATTAGAAGAAATAACGTCTCTTCGAAGAATGGTATTCCTTGTTTCTATGGCAGGTGACCATAACATTCAGATGAAGACGTTGGTTCAGAAAGCCTCTCGGAGCCTCACAAGTCCTTCCTCATTTGTTATGACTAGGTGATAATATAACTGATAAACATTAGTTTCTGAAGGGTGTGATGCTAATGGTATAATAAAGAAGCCTGTAAATTCTTGACAGATACTGTGACAGATATAAAATTCAAATTCATACAGTAGAAAAGCCTGACCCCTGCTGGCTGCCCTGTTTAGGCTCACCTAAGTGATAGTATAAACACACACACACACACACACACACACACAAGAATCTAAACCAGTATTTTTTAAATTTTACTAAGGAAAAAATAATAGTAGATACAGTAAGCTTCTGTTTGTCATTCTAAAAAAAGCACATGTTAACTATCTGCTGTGGTTTGAATGTCTCCTCTAAAACTTGCTGAAATTCTTTTATTTCTCCTTTTCTTTTTCTTTTCCTTATCCTTTTTTTTTTTTTTTAAATTTACTATAGGGTACATAAATTCGCCAGAGAGAGACAGAGAGAAAAAGAGAAAGCGAGAAATCACCCCTTGGGGAGATGGCGACACCTCAATCCCTTCTCCTCCATTTTCCTCTTGGAATTTTGGGCCTGTACACACGTGACATGTGTGTTTTTCAAGCAATCGGTCCAGGATTCCAACTGCACAGTCATGCAGGAGGGATTCTGTTGCCTTAGCCACCAGGCCACTGGCTGTCCCCCATATTGAAATTAAATTGCCATTGTAACAGCATTGGAGTGGGGGGGAACATTAAAAGATAGGTCATGAGGGCTCATGCGTGAAATAATAACATTATCACAGGAGAAGGTTAATTATTGTAGGAGGTGGCTCCTGAAAAACTGGTAAGCTTAGCTCCCTCCTCTGTGTATCATGCATGTTCCTTCACCTTCCCATCTTCTACATGTGATGATGCAGCACAAAGCCCTACAAAGCCCTCACCAGGTACAGCCACTTGACCTTGGCCTTCCTGGTCTCCACAACTGTGAGCTGAATGCATTTCGTTCATCATAAATTACCCAGTCTGCAGTATCCTCTAATAGCAGAGTAAAATGAACTAAGACAATGTCAAAGAAAGGAAGATGAAATCCCAGAAAAATTATATAACCTGCTTGACAAGATACTCAAGTGATGTCTTTCATAAATATAAGTTTATGAGTGATTATTGAAAAAGGGAAAAGTATGTCGGCATATCAAAATTTTTACATGAACTAATAATCCATGGATCTCTGAGAAGATTATCACAGGCGACCAGTGTTTGGCTCCCATGACACACCAAGAAGATGATCCAGTAATTTTCAGAAATTACCAAATGATTTTTTTAAAGAGATTCTTGCTATAGGGGGTGTGTGCTTGCCAGAGAGACAGAGAAAGAGAGACAGACAGAAAGTGAGAAATCACTTCCCCAGGAGGAATGGTCACACCACAACCCCTTCCCCTCCATTCTTCTCTCGAGATTTTTGGGCATGCACACACATGCGCCTGGCATGAGTTTAAAGCCTCTGAGTCCAGGATTCAAACCACGGTTGGCCATGTGGGAGTCTAGTGATGTAATCAACCATTACACCATCTGCTGGTCCCAGAAATTACCAAAAAGTTTACCTCCAGCTGAGGAAGCTACTTTGTCAATATTGGTCATAAGTTCCTCATTTATTTAATTCACTGCACACTTTCTAACACATATAACCAAGTCAGGCACATTGAATGTTATCTTTTTCAGTAAATTAAGCATCTTCTATTAACTTTCTATAGACATGAAGATCAATTTTAAGGTTGAAATTAAAATTCAGTCTCCATACTCTAGTAAGTGAGAAAATAAGAAAAATAATGGGTAACACGTATCTTTCTATTCAGCCCTAAATTCCTTTTTTCTCTAACTAAAATCTCTTAATCTATGTTGGGTTTCAAATGCATTATTTTACACAGAAGCTTAATGTACCACGAAGTAAGATGAATCAGCATCACACTAAATTAAACATATGCAGCACTGACATAAAATATATAGCATCTTATAGTTGAATTGTGATGACTTACATAGAGATAGAATCTAGAATAAATATAAACCAAAACCTTGGCATATTTGCACACGACAACCATTTAAATGCACTAAAAGCTACAGCTAGGTTTTAATAAATATCAAATCATTTTAAGATGAAATATAACACATGAAATTTACTTTTCCACAAAGATAAGGTGCCCATCTGAAAAAGAGAAAATCAGCTTTACAACCAGGGAAATGATATGAGAAAGTTGTCATTTTGTAACCACTTACATTACCACAAGGTGGCACTTGCATCTCTGCTAAGGTGCTTAGGTGAAATAAATTCTCTGAATTCTCTGCATCCTTGCTGATAAGAGTGAATGAGTATAATCTTTATACTTGGATTAAATCTTAAAAAGCTGTGCTGCTATAAGTCGGTAAATACTATTTATTGAAATTCCACAGCATAAAGTTACAGAAGAGATACAACTTTTACTATAGATAAGTAGGAAATGATAAACCCAAAGGATCATACGTTGGAGACATATGACAAAGGTTGGGTGACCTGGGGATGTGGTCACCAGCCTTCTAAGATGGCATCTGTGTCTCATATTTATCATCTCCTTCCACTTCCATGAACTTTGTTGAGGTCCCTATTGTATAATAACATTAAACCAACCAAGTTTCTACTTGTCATCTCTAATCTTCCCGTCCTATCCTATACCATACTTTCAGATTATCCCCTGGAAAGTAGCGAATAAGACAGAAAAAGGAAAAATCCTGATTAAGTGCATATTTATTCTGAGTATTTTTCTTAAAAAGACTAGATTTTAAAGCAGAGAGAGGTAACCTTCTGGTAGCTTCTGCTATTATTGAGACTTGCTAGAAACATTAGTAAAGTTATATAAGTGAACATATTTATACTTCTGTACATCTGAGCACTGTACAAAATGTCTAGAATAAATATAAACCAAAAACTTGGCATATTTGCACATGACATCCATTTAAATGCACTAAAAGCTACAGCTAGATTTTAATAAATATCAAATCATTTTAAGATTAAATATAAAAAATAAAATTTACTTTTCTACAAAGATAAGGTGCCCATTTGAAAAGGAGAAAATCCTAATTAGGTGCATATTTATTCTTCATAGGCAGATATACATATAAATAAAAGTTATTATTTATATATCACTGTAGTTCATTTTAAAAATGTGTTTATGATTAAATACTTCTGTGTAATTTTCCTTTGCAAATTCAGTCTAAACTGAGATAATGTTTTTCTCTGTGACAGGAGCAAAACTTACTATAATACAAAATGGTGCAGTAAGTTTTGTTTTTCCAGAAAAAAAAAGTAATATATATTTGTAAATTCAGACCAATTGATGATAATTTTAAAAGTTCAATAAGTTTTATACCTGGTACCTCTGCTCTACATAACTCAAAAAGGAGATGGAGGAAGATAATCTGTGGTTACATTTCTTATTGGATCCTCCCTGAAAATTCCACTCCTCTTTTAAAAGTTTTATTGCTAGTGCTTTTGGGGGAGAGGAGGGGAAGCAGAAAGGAAGAGAGATGGAAGATCCAACCAGAAAACAATGCCTATGTACATAGAACTGAGTGAATTTTATCACAGATTCTCCCTCCATCAAGCAAATAAATGATCAAAACCTAGCAAAACAAGCAAGAACTCATCAACAGACTGCCACCCCTGGCCATGGTGCAGTAACTGATACTGCATTTATTCTCTCACTGTAAAAAAAAAAAAATGTCAAAATTGAACAAACTATGAAATATCTGCTTTTGGACATTGGAAAATAGGCAGCACAGAACTATGGTCTCCAAAAGAAAGGGAAAAATGAAGTGTTCAAACACTGTATTTATAGTAGATTTCTGCCTGGAAGCACTTTCTAGACTATGATGTAGAAAGAGGATTTCTAAGCAGAAAATGACCATCACCATGAGCAAAGGTGACAAAAACCAGACTTAAGGTAATTTGAGCAGTTAAAATTGCCAAGGCAGAATATTAGAGTGGAAAAATATTCACATAGAAATCTCTTTAAAAATTTGATAAGAATAGCCTAAATCCATGACTGAATTATAAGCCAACTGTATTTAGGGTAAAATTCCACAAGGCTGGATAAAAAACAACTAGGACATTGTAAGCCAAACAATTCCCAGAGCCCACAGAGAGCTGGTAGACATTCAAGTTTCAACTAGCCAGAGTAGAATATCTTTGTTGACAACACAGAAATTCAGTAGAGACCTGAAACTGGGCCAAGTCTTCATAGTAAAGCTAAATAAGCCCAAGACAAAAACATTTATTCTAGATTCACAGTAACAAGGCTTTTAAAAAAATAAAAACAATCTAGTACCAATCAACATAAAATTCACAATGTCCATTATCTATGTCTAGTCTAAAATTACTAGGCACATGAATAAGTATGTAAACATGAACCTAAACCAGGAGAAAAATCGGCTGATACTCTAAGACCTAAAAATAATAGAGATCGGAGAATTAATAGATTTGAAAAAAAAAAGAAATATTATAAACAGAACATGTAAAAATTCTATACTGAAAACTACAAATAATGCTGAGAGAAATTAAAGTAATTTAAAAAGTAAAGAGGCATAGTATGTTCACATGGGACTCAATATTGTTAAGATTCATTCTCTCAATGGATCTAGAATCAACATAATCCCAACCAGATCCCAGAAGAGTTTTTTAAAGAAGAAATTGACAAGTTGATTTAAGTACATACATGGAAATAAGTGAACTAGAACTAT